CACCTAAGGGCCAAAGTAGAGGAGTTCTCTAGGAGAATTCCATTACTACTCCTCTCCTCCTCCCCTCTTCCCCTCCCCCCCCCCCCACCCCACACACACAGGACCTCTACATAATATTCCAAGAGTGGGGCACCATGCAGGGCCGGCTCTGGCTTTTTTGCCACCCTAGGCAGAAAAGCCACCTGCTGCCCCCTCCTCCCCCCCCCGCCCCCCGAGCGCCGGGAGGAGGGCGGAGAGCCCGTCGAGGCTCTCTGCTCTCCCCGACCAGCCGGAGCGCCGGGGGGAGAGTGGTGCCGCACCGCGCCCCTCCAGGCGCCGCCCCAAGCATATGCTTGGTGGGCTGGTGCCTGGAGCCGGCCCTGGCACCATGTACTAGATCTACCCACAAGACTTGTCCTCTGAGAGTGGAGGGTGAAGGTAGTTTATGTATCCAGATGGCACAAGCATTCAGATCCTCCAAAGCAGAGGTCAAAAATGCAGGGCAGTAGATTCTAGGTGTGCAACAGCCTAGAGCTGACACTCTAAAGTCTTGTCTAGAACTGAGAGCCCGGGTGTTTCACATACACTGCTGGATTGGGAGAGCCTGTAGCAACAATATGCTATACCAGTGCCTACACCACCAATGTATCTCCAGTGGTTAAGTGCCACTATAAGGGGAGATTTTGACAGCCCAGCAAAATGCCTAGGCTACTGCTAGTATTGGAATGTATTATGTTTATTGACAAAAGCAGCTGATGGCCTTTGTAGCAGCCTTAGCATAACTAGTCAGGAAGGGGTTGACCATGAGATGTGAGCATGACCCTGCTGCCTTCCTTGGTCAGCAATTTCAAAACAGCTTAAGTCTGCCTCTGGTTGTTTGTGGGTGGTTTTTTTTATTTTTATTTTTCTTTTTTTTAAACAGGAAGTCAAACTAATCTTTAGACTGTGGTGCAGGAATAGTCCTGCAGCTGTAACAGATTAAAAATGCTTACTTTAATGTGTTGATGTAATTGCAGTAGTTACTAATATAAAGGTGCTAGAAAGGTCTGAGGAATTTTGGATTTAACCTTCTGGACATCTCTTGGAATCCCTAGTGATGGGTGGATAGCTGGCCACTTGAGGGCCTCCCTCCAGACCATGGGTAACTCTTGTTTGGGGTGCTCTAACCCTTTAGCATATCTGTAAGTCCTTGACCTCAAAGTTCTGTTTTTTATTAAAGCAATTTGGGTTTGTGCCAATCTTTAATCTGACAGATATTATGTTCCCCCTTTGACTTCTTCCTTTCAAAGAGTACAATTACCCCAAGCTTTGGGTTGAGAGATTCCCTGGGTAAAATGACTGGACCAACTGAAGCAAGTTCAGACCACTGAACAACTAACCTATTGGCAGGCACAGCCAATTCTGCTGTGCAATCCTCCTACCAAAAGGTTGGTGTACTCTCCAGGGCACAGGGAAGTGGCCTTATTACTAAAGTCCTACCAACTTCACAGCCATGAAAAATGCATCCTGGACCATGAAATCTGGTCTTTTGTTTTTACATGATACTATACAATTTCATGGGGAAGAACAACATTTCTCAAATTGGGGGTCCTGACCTAAGTTCCCTGTAAGCTGTGCAGCAGCCTATTTACTGTCAGGCAAGCACTCAGGGAACCAGTCCAGATGGGACCTGCTTGGGGGGCCCTTCCCCAGCCCCAACCTGCCAGGGGAGAGGGGCCCATAGCTGGGGGGTGCTCAATCCCCCTTCCCCTAAGAAAATGAGCTCTATCTACTGCAAAGAGAGGAGGATAGAATGGGGGAACTTGAGGGCTGCATGTAATGTGGGAAGCCAGCTCTGTATTTACATAAAGACCTTAATCATCAGCTGAGGTACTGAAGTGGTCCCATGCCTATCAGAGGCTGTCAAGGATGTCCATGGTCTCTGACCTGTGATTTCACCATCATCAGACTAAATGACTCATCCAAGATCACACTGGAAATTGGTTGCAGTGCCAGAAATTGGATGCAGAACCCAGGCCAACCTTCCTCTGCAGGCAGTAGAGAGGAAATAACACTTAAGTTGTCAATCTAATAGTCATTTTGCCATGTGTGACCAGACACATAGTAAAATGACTATTTGAGTGACAACTTAAGTGACACTTAACTAATGCACTAGATCTCTGCTAGAGAGTTGTCTTTATTTTTCTTTATTTTCTTCTTGCTGTTTGCTTACTATAAATAAAAATTAAAAGCCCCCAGCCTTTCTGGGCAATTCCCATTCTCCAGCCAGACTACAGCTTGTGATGCTATGCTATTGTGATGCTTGCTGGGGTACCCAGGGTTGTGAGAGACCTTGCTACCACCTGCCCTTAGCATGAGCCAGCCATGTCTGTGCCTGCAGTAGGTTAGCTCCCCAATATCAACAGCTTCTGGCAAAATGAGCACTGCCTTTCAGGCCTCTGCAGGTCCCCTTCTCTCTGTACAGATTAACAGGCACACTCCAACCTCTGCGCATCCAGCCCCAGCTCCATTGGATGCTCACAGAATTCAGAGCCGGTACTCCCAAAGAAGTACACCCTAGCCTACTAGTTCCACCTCTGCTCACTGCTCTGCTTAACACACAGCACTTGGATACGTTTATAGTAAAAACAAGAAGAAATTTATTTAACAAAGATCAGAAATTCATGATGAAACAAGTAGAATTAATGGAAACCACTGGTTACAAACAGTGGTTTGCTGTTCCCCCACCGGTCTGATCCTCTCACCCTACCCCCATGCTGCTTTAACCCTACCCCCTCATTTCAGGGGGAGGGGCCATAGTGGTTTAGTGGTACTGGAGCCAGAATCGTGTGCCTGACCCACCACACCTTTCATATAAAACAAAATCATAGCATGCTGGCTAGAGCCTAAACTTAACTGACAAGACATTCCTCTGTCTTATAAAGATTAGCACAGCCAAAGTTTGTCTCCCAGCATCAGCCAGCTGTGATCTTCTGTTCATAACAAGCCAGCTGGCAGCTTGTCCCCTCGTGAAAGATAACTGGGTGTATCGCTGCACCCCCAGATAAAGTACCAATGAGCCATTGTCTTCACTTGCAGACAGGATAGCCTCCTGCTTGTTTATTTCTTCCAGTAAACTCCCTTTCTTGAAGACATCATACTTCCTTCAGTAGTATTAGGCTTAGACTGTAGCTGGGCATCCATTGTGATTTTAATTTACATGTGGTCAAACTGATAGATAAGCATCTCTTGTCTGAAAGAAACTTTTTATCACCTTCTGGTGACCAGCCCCAAGTCACAGACCTGAAGAACATAATTTTCAGTATATATTCATATTTCCTAACACATTATCCATACATATATTTTGCAATGAATATGAGGACACAGGCTTTCAGGAAAGACCTTCCATAACACCCTTTGGTGAACTAGTATGTTGACCCCAGAGCCAGCGATCTCTGTAACCCTTTACACCCCTTTGCCCTCTGCCAGTTGGCTCCAATAGGTCCCCGGGTCCCAATCTCCCATGGTGCAATGTGGTACCTCAGCAGAGAGAAGACTGTGGTGTATCATGGGAAATGTAGTCCTTCTGGACAGCACAGCCCATAGAGGAGAATGGGAGAATGAGGCACATGAACTACACCTTCCACGAGACACCATGACAGCATTTCCCGATCAAAATGTTTTCAGTTGAAAATTAGGGCCCAGAAATGTTTGTTTTTCACCAACATTTTTTCAGTTTTAGTCTGAAAATTTGGGGGGTTTTGATTTTTCACCAAATAGTCAAAAGTTTCTACAAGGGAAAAAAACATTTGCAGAGCAGCTCTAACCCTTACTTACGCTGAGCAGTAACTTGCTCTGGGAACAGTCCCATTTAAATCAACATGAGGATGGGATGCAGACTCTGGCCCTTCGACCATAATGTCTTTGGGGCAGGAACTGCTTCTTACTAGGCGTATGTTCAGGACCCAGTACAATGGGGCCTTGATCTCGATTGGAGCGTCTGGGTGCCACTGTAATACAAATAATAATGGCAAAGAGTCCTGTGGCACCTTATAGACTGACAGACGTATAGGAGCATGAGCTTTCGTGGGTGAATGCCCACTTCTTCGGATGCATGTAGTGGAAATTTCCAGGGGGAGGTACCTGCATCCGAAGAAGTGGGCATTCACCCACGAAAGCTCATGCT